ATGCATGCGGCTGCCCCCCATTTTCTGTGGCCGTTTGCGGTTCGGTACGCGGCGCATCAGATCAACCTTCACCCCAGGGTCTCCATGCCAGAGACCTCCCCAGCTTTGCTGTGGACGGGGAAGGTTGGCGATGCGTCTGCGTTCCGTGTCTGGGGATCTCGGGCGTTTGTCCGCGACTTGTCTGCGGACAAGCTGTCCCCTCGTGCTGCTCCTTGCGTCTTCCTTGGCTTCCCCCCTGACGCGCCAGGGTGGCAGTTCTACCACCCCACCTCTCGCCGTGTTCTGTCCTCCCAGGACGTCACGTTTGACGAGTCGGTCCCCTACTACCGCCTCTTCCCCTACCGCACTCCGTCCCTCCCCCCGCCACCGCTCTTCCTTGTGCCAGGTCCCCCCCCGGTAGACCCCCTCCCCCCTCAGGGTCCTGCCCCTTCAGGTGTGTCCCAGGTAGACGCAGTCGAGCCTGTCGAGGTTACTGGTGACTCTGGTGCTGCTGAGGGTGCTGAGCCTGGGGGTGCTGACTCTGGGGGTGCTGAGCGTGTGGGTGCTACGCCTGGGGGTGCTGAGCCTGGGGGTGCTGAGCCTGGGGGTGCTACTACTGGGGGTGCTGAGCCTGGGGGTGCTGAGCCTGGGGGTGCTGAGCCTGGGGCTGCTACTACTGGGGGTGCTGAGCCTGGGGGTGCTGAGCCTGGGGCTGCTACGCCTGGAGGTGCTGAGCCTGGGGGTGCGGAGCCTGAGGGAGCTGGGCCTGCTCGTGTGGCGTCTGGTGGTGCTGAGCCTGGAGGTTCTCCGGGTGCTTCGTCTCGGCGGGAGCCACTCTCTCCACAGGAGCTGCGCGAGTGGTTTGCCCGGCGCTGGAGGCGTGCTGCTGGAGCTGGAGGTTCTTCGGCTGCTGAGGGTGCTGGTGCCGTGGGTCCCGGAGGTGCTCGTACTGGGAGTACTGGAGCTGCTGGGCCTGTGGGTACGACTGGAGCTGGAGCTGCTGAGGGTGTTGGCGCTGAGGCTACTGCTGTCGGTCCTGGAGGCGGTCCTGCTGGGGGTACTACTGGTGCGGCTGGAGGTCCTGGAGCTGGAGGTGCTGCTGGCGCTGGTACTGCCGCTGGGGGTACTGGTGCTGTCCCTGCTGTGTCTGGAGTCGCCGCGCGGCCTCGGCCGTACTTCGTTCCGCTCCTTCAGCAGGTTCTTAGTCTCCCGCCTTCTACTGGTCCTCCTCCTCCCTTAGAGTGTCCACAGCCTGTCCCGTCACAGTTCCAGTTACAGCTGGCCTCCCCACTGCCCGCTCCCTCTCCCTACACTGGTCCTACTGGAGGTCTTGCTGAGCGTCGTGAGCCCGCGTCCCGCCCTGCGTCGCCTGTCCGTGCTGCTCGCACTAGTGGTCGTGGTTCGCGTCAGCGTCCTCCTCCTGTCCCTGGCACGCACCGGATGTCTCTGCGTCCGTCCACTGCTCCTCTGCGTGCCCCTTTGCCTTCTCCTCCTGAGTCCTCTCTTCCTGCTCTTCCTGACCCGGAGTCGGACTCTCTTCGTGCTGCCAGTCCTACTGTCACACGTCTCCTTGCTACTGTTGTCACTGACCCTTCCTTTGAGTCCACTGCTGCGTCTGCCCTAGTTACTGAGCTCGTCGACTTTGCTGCTCGCTGTCGTCTAGACTACGCTGCTAGTCTTGTTGCTCAGTCTGTCTGTCCTCCGTCCGTCGGGGGTGAGTGTGCCCTTGGCACGGACGTCCTTGAGGACAGGCAGGAGGAGTTCCAGTGTTTGGCTGCTGCTTCACCTCATCTCGTGTCCGTACTGCTTACCCCTGAGGGAGACCCGGATGCACTTGACATCCCGACTCCGCGCTCTTACGCGGAGGCGATAGAGGGTCCCTACTCCTCTCAGTGGCAGGCAGCTATGGACGCAGAGATGGCTTCCTGGAAGTCCACAGGCACCTACGTCGACGAGGTTCCCCCGCCTGGGGCGAACATCGTCAGTGGCATGTGGATTTTCAGGGTGAAGCGGCCGCCGGGTTCTCCGCCTGTCTTCAAGGCGCGTTACGTGGCTCGTGGCTTTAGTCAGCGGCAGGGAGTTGACTACTTTCAGACCTTCTCTCCCACCCCGAAGATGACCACTCTTCGGGTACTGCTGCACGTAGCTGCTCACCGCGACTACGAGCTGCACTCTCTTGACTTCAGCACTGCTTTCTTGCAGGGTAGCCTGCATGAGGAGATCTGGCTGCGTCGCCCACCTGGCTTCACTGGGTCTTTTCCTCCTGGCACCCAGTGGAGCCTCCGGCGGCCAGTCTACGGTCTCCGCCAGGCACCGCGTGAGTGGCACGACACACTGAGGACTACACTTGCGGCTCTTGGGTTTGCTCCCTCTACGGACGACCCGTCGCTGTTTCTGCGCACCGACACTTCTTTGCCGCCGTTCTACATCCTCGTGTACGTCGACGACTTGGTCTTTGCCACAGCTGACACTGCTGGACTCGCCCACGTGAAGTCCGAGCTGCAGAAGAGACACACGTGCACAGACCTGGGTGAACTGCGCAGCTACCTTGGCTTGCAGATCACCCGGGACAGAGCACGCCGCACCATTACCCTGACTCAGTCACACATGGTGCAGCAGGACCTTCAGCGCTTCGGCTTCACGTACTCCTCGCCTCAGGCCACTCCTCTGCCTACTCGCCACTCGCTCTCAGCTCTGCCTTCGGATGAGTCCGTAGAGTCGAGTGGCCCGTACCCAGAGCTTGTTGGCTGCCTCATGTACCTGATGACCTGCACACGACCTGACCTTGCATACCCTCTTAGCATTCTCGCACGCTATGTTGCTCCTGGGAGACACAGACCGGAGCACATGGCTGTAGCGAAGAGGGTGTTGCGCTACTTGTGCAGTACGTTGGGCATGGGGCTTGTGCTTGGAGGGCAGAGTCCAGTGGTCCTCACTGGGCACGCAGACGCTTCTTGGGCTGACGACCAGGCTACGCAGCGGTCGTCACAGGGTTACACCTTCAGCCTTGGTTCCGGTTCTGTTTCGTGGCGGGCTACCCGCTCGTCTTCTGTTCTCGGCTCCAGTTGTGAGGCTGAGATCTACGCTGGAGCCATGGCTGCACAGGAGCTTCGCTGGCTCACCTACCTGCTGACTGACCTCGGAGAGTTGCCTCGTTCTCCTCCAGTGCTCTACGTAGACAACAAGGCCATGCTGGCCTTGTGTCGAGAGCAGAGACTGGAGCACAGAACGAAGCACATTGCTCTCCGCTACTTCCTTGCTCGTGAGCTACAGCAGCGTGGTCAGCTGCGACTTGCGTACGTGGCCTCTCAGGCCAACACTGCTGATATCTTCACCAAGGCACTTGCGCCTTGTGATCATCAGCGTTTCTGTACTCAGCTGGGCCTTGTGCCTACCTTGCCTCACTTGCTCACCCCTTGACCTTGTTTGTACTGTTGCATATATATATACACGTGCTCTTGCTTGTCTAGCCTTATATATATATGTAATCCTGCATGTGAACTGGCCTTGTGGCCTTGAACGTGTGCTCGGAATGTGTGGTGACTTTGTGATCCACCCTGAGCTTGCTTTGCTTTGCTTGACTGGTCTTGTGACCCCTTGTTCTCCCCCACTTTGCCTATGGGGGTGTGTCAGATTTATATGACAGAGCTACTGTAGGCTATAGTGGGGTAGCACATATGGGGTACAGTTTTCTAGGGTTTGTATTTGTACCCAACTTTCCCTTAGTCATTTTCATTCCTGTTTTCTTAATTCACATCATCGTGTTGCGTTGCATCATACGCACCACTCTTTATCAATCGGTACAATGACCGATGGACATGGGGTGTCCTATCCACCATGCCACGCTTAAAATGAGCTAACTCATCCCGTTTAGTGAGGCAAATGGAGCATGGTCGAGCTGTGCTTCCCGACTTTGTGCACGTGACCTTGCACGATTCAGGATAGTCACACACATACGCATAAAGAGCAGGCCATGCGTTCAAGGTTTCACCATTGGACCCCTGGATTTTAATACCCGTGTGCGACGCACGCTTGAGTGGGGCTAGCACTTGGTTGAGCACATGTTGGAACACAACAAGCTTATCCAACGAGTCGTATTCTGCTGTAAATTCCGGGAGGAGAGCGAGAAGCACGTGCCCGTGCTTCTTCCACCTCTCTTCCCTTAGAATATTGGCCAGCGTCATGTATAAGGGGTGGCCTTTTGCCTTACCCCGCTGGTCCATGTGCGTCTCATCCGACGCTAGTATTAGAGCAGCGACAAAGCCATCCACCATCTCTTTGCGAATGTTCTCTTGCATTTTTAACCACCAATCTCCCGTTTCTGGATTGGTGTAAACATGCTTCACCCCGGGGTTGCGAGCTGTTGCCTCCTTGACAATCTTACCTTGAAGCTTCGGATGTGTGAGAAGCTCTTTCAGCGCTTGAAGGCCATCACAATAGTGATATTCAAGCCATGACTTTGTCCCAACACGCACTCTGGCCTTCTTCCAGCCCCTCGACGTGTCAGGAACCCTCGACTCAGCATACTTCTCAACATCACGAATGCTTTTCCATTGGGCAATGTCAGACAACCGTGTGCTTGCATGACAAAGGATTGCCAACAAGGTAGCAATCTGGCTTTGTGACAGATTCTCCATCAACAACCAGTATGCAAGGGCATCCATGAAGTTGAATGGACGTTCCTCGACATCATCAGACCCGGGAATCCCGAGGCCTTCCGTCTCAGCAGGTGCTGCCCCCCCAGATGTACCCTCACCCCCCCCCCCCCCCCAACCTCATCCGGCATGTTTATAGCAACAGGTACATCACAAGGCATGCAATCCTCATCATCATCACTATCTGAGCTACTGCCACTGTCACTATCTACATCCGAAACAAAATCTGGTGGCACCATGCTATCCTGCAAAGTTTCAGCAGCATCACCCACAACAGGAGGGTCATCTAACTCCACGGGCGTAAGGTTGAATGATGGGATGTGCGCCGCTGGCACTCGGTGTTGTCGCGGTAGAAGGTACGGATTGCTACCACTCGTAGATGCAACCGCAGGCAGTCTCACGGCCCTGCACGCCTGGCTTCGCTGGTGTGACGCAAGAGCCTGTGCCGTGTCAAAATATGCCTGTTCTGGGCATTTGCTACACGTGTATGCCATCTGCAAACAAGACATTGAACCACGTGCGATGGATAATGGAACAGATGCAGAGAGGAAGAGGCAGTGAGAGGATAGGAGGGAGGGGGAGGAGGTGAGGGAGGCAGAGAGGAAGAGGCAGTGAGAGGAGAGGAGGGAGGGGGGAGGAGGAGAGGGAGGGAGAGAGAGGGAGAGCCCGGGAGAGGAGAGGAGGGGGAAGGTGGGGCAGAGAGGAAGAGGGCGGAGAGGAAGAGAGTGGAGAGGAGGAGAGCGGAGGGGAGGGAGGAGGAGGGGATAGGAGGGAGGAGGGGGTGAACGAGTGGGACAGAGAGGAAGAGCCCGGAAGAGGAGAGGACTTGGGGAGTGACGAGAGAGGGGGCAGTGTGAGGGAGGGAGAGAGGGGGCAGTGTGAGGGAGGGAGAGACGGAGAGAGAGAATGCTACGGTGGGAGAGCGAGGGAGGGACGGAGAGAGAGAATTGGACGGTGTGAGAGCGAGGGAGGGACAGAGAGAGAGAATTGGACGGTGTGAGAGCGAGGGAGGGACAGAGAGAGAGAATTGGACGGTGTGAGAGCGAGGGAGGGACAGAGAGAGAGAACTCGACGGTGTGAGAGCGAGGGAGGGACAGAGAGAGAGAATTCGACGGTGGGAGAGCAAGGGAGGGACAGAGAGAGCGAATTCGTCGGTGAATGCGACGGTGGGAAAGCACGGAGAACGGACGGGAGCGACGGAGCGCGCAATTGCGAAGAGTAAGGCACGATTGCGAACGAGAGAGCACACGGTAGAGACGGAGAGGGCAAATCCGACCGAGCGAGAGCACCCTTAGCGAGCGAGAGAGTCGAAACGAACGAGAGAGTGAACGGCAGCGACGGAGAGAGTGAATTCAAAAGGGAGTGATCACGGGAGCGACGGAGAGATCTAATGCGACTGACGGAGAGCAAGGGAGCGAGAGAAATAGAGAGATACCGGGAACGAGAGCGGCCGGGATAGAGAACGGGAGCGAAGGAGATGGCGAATGCGACGGTGGGAGACCTTGGGAGCGACAGAGGGAGAATGCGACGGTGAGAGAGCACGGGAGCGACGGCGAGAGAGAATGCGACGGTGGGAGAGCGGACGGGAGGGAAGGAGCGCGCGAATAAGGTACGGACAGCGCACGGGAGGGACGGAGATAACGAACGTAAGGGAGAGCGGACGGGAGGGACGGAGCGCGCGATTGCGGAAGGGAGAGCACACGGAATGGACGGAGAGAGCGAATGCGAGAGGTAGAGCGGACGGGAGGGACGGAGCGCGCGAATGCGGAAAGGTAGAGCGCACGGAGAGACGGAGAGACCGAATGCGAGAGGTAGAGCGGACGGGAGGGACGGAGCGCGCGAATGCGGAAGGTAGAGCGCACGGAGAGACGGATAGACCGAATGCGAGAGGTAGAGCGGACGGGAGGGACGGAGCGCGCGAATGCGGAAAGGTAGAGCGCACGGAATGGACGGAGAGAGCGGATGCGAGAGGTAGAGCGGACGGGAGGGAGAGAATGCGACCGTGGGAACGCACGGGAGGGACGGAGAGAGAGAATGCGACCGTGGGAACGCACGGGAGGGACGGTGCGCGAGAATGCGACGGTGGCAGAGCAACGGACGGACGGAGCGTGTGAATGCGACCGTGGGAACGCACGGGAGCGACGGAGAGAGAGAATGCGATCGTGATAGAGCGGACGGGAGTGGCGTAGTGCGTGAAGGCGACCGGCGTATGCGGACGGGAGGGACGGAGCGCGTGAATGCGATAGGGAGGGCGGACGGGAGGGACGGAGCGCGGAAATACGAAACGGATAGCGAAAGAGGTTGACAGATCGTAAGAATGCAAAACGGAGAGCGGACGGGAGGGACGGAGCGCGCAAACGCGTAAGAGAGAGATCACGGGATGGACAGAGCGCGCTAATGCGACCGGGGGTGAGCACGGTAGCGACTGAGATGGCGAATGCGTATGAGAGAGCAAACGGCTGAGACGGAGAGAGCGAATACGACCGATCGAGAGCACCGTAAGCGAGCGAGAAAGATCACGGCAGCGACGGAGAGAGTAAATGCAAAAGGGAGGGATCACGGGAGAAACGGTACGCGCAAATGCGACTGTGAGAGAACAGGGGCCTACACGGAGAGAGCGAACGCGAAAGGGAGAGAGCACGGGAGCGACGAAGCGCGCGCATGCGACCGGGGGAGTACACGGGAGAGTCTGAGGTGGCGATTGCGAACGGGGGAGCACACGGTAGAGACGGAGAGAGCGAATGCTCCGAGAGAGAGCACGGGTGCACCGGAGAGGGAGATTGCGAAAGAGGAAGAGAGCAAGAGAGACGGATAGATCGAATGCGAACGAGAGAGAGCTCAACATAGACGGAGAGAGTGAATGCGAGGGAGAGGGAGAACGGGACCACGAGGGAGCGCGAATGCGACAGAGAGAGAATGGGACCGAGGGAGAGCGTGAATGCGAGGGGGAGATACAGACGGCGGGAGCTAGTGATCGCGAGCATGCGATAACAAGAAGACGGGAACGACAGCGCTCCCGAAAGCAAGGGGTAGAGAGAGAACATGACCGGGGGCGCGCGCGATGATGTTAAGATGAGCTCACCTATTTGAGCTAAGCAAGGTGTAAGCGCTTGAAAAACTACCGCCACCAACGTATCCCCTTGAAACCCGGTTCGTACCCACCTCCCCGCGAGCAAGGCCGTAGAGCCACTATCAGAACAGCAGTGCTCATGCAAAAGCGTAGGTGATAAGCGGAACGGAATGCCAACTATCGGCAGCAGAAAGTCGAGAATGGCCAGCAAGAGATTCTGAAATGACGAGCGATCTAACGAGTGAGTGATGGATGTGGGACTCCTGAGAGAGAACCACAAACGGTCGGAATGCTTCGAGGGGCGAAAATTGCGAGAGGGAACTGCTCCGAGGGGCGAAAATTGCGAGAGGGGTGTCTACCGGTAACAAACAACTCGCGAGTCGCAACGCATGCCTGAAATCTCTCGTCACCACGCGGCAAAAATCCTGAATGAAAAAAGCAAAAACCGCTGGCATTGCAATTCGCGTAAGAAATAGACGGGCCGCGAATTGCTTCCTTCCCAACTCCCGCAATTTTCGGCGCGAATGAAAAAAACGGACATGTGTCCAACAACCAGCTATAGAGTGTCACGCCTGAATATATAAAGCAAACTCATTTATAATTAAGTGTTCTATATCTAAAAAGACATCATATTAGTCAACTGTACCCACAATTTAACATATATGAATTCTATACGAAATGAGAAAACATACCCGTCGAAACGATTGAGATAAATTGCATATATTCACTCCATAAAAATAATCCGACCTCATGTTGACAACCAGTGAGCTTGAAATACACACATTTACATTTTCAGGAAATCACTTCATACAGATTCGTTTCGAGATACACAGCAACACGCAACATGGAAAGTTGAAACGCGTCATAGCTAAATCGGAAAAACAACACAGGCCGCGCGTGCACCAAGCCAAGCCGTAGATGACAACATTCCGTCAGCAAAGGTTTCGGGAACAGTAGCGACAATCCTCCCCACACATACTCAACCGTATAGAGCCACCAACTCAGCCTTCACACCAACTTCCAACCACTAACACTCCCTTACGTCCGACCGCCAAACCTAAACCGTTCATCGTCATTGATGACGATGAGAACGGGCACGAACTTCACCCCCGACTGGATTCGACAATCCCACTTTTTTCCGATGTGTATAAGCATGGGAGCTTACGCCTTGCGGCCGTAGGAATAGCTGTTATCGCTTCTTTGGTTGCATAAGGAGGGGGCTTGGCAGGGCCCATCTTACGTACCAAATAGCGGTCAAGAAGGGAGCTACCCTGTCTGCTAAGCTGACGACAACGGGTTGATTGGTCCAAGGTAACGACAAGGTCTGTAACTCTATCCTTTCAACCTCCTCCCACAAGTTTCATTCTCCACTGGGAAACCTAACTAAACACTAGCAGTTAATGACTTCTCCTTTCATTCTGTTGAAGTGATTTCTTATTTTCTCCTACCCACCATTCCACTCCCTCACTACCCCCCCCCCCCCCCCCTCCCCCCCGCCCTCCGTTCCCCAACCCCCAGTTTCATACTCCACTGTAAGACCAGGGCAAACACAGTAGGAATGGCTGCTGATGTGGCGTCGTCTGGTTGGGTGGCGGATGGATGGTAAGGTGTACCCAGCTGACACGGCCATTGGGAACCTGCCAGCTGGCACTCTCGCTAACGGGGCGGTGGTGGGAGAGCCTATGACATGAGCGGCTATGGCTTGTCTGACGTGGCGCTGACGTGTTTGAGCTCACCAACACCAGGACTACGATCGCAGATGGCCGAACAACAATTGCGTGAGTGTGGGGCGTTGGTAAGATTTTCTTACCCCCTCCTCTCTGGGCTTCTCCCCCGCACAAAGAAGCAATTGCATGAGCGTTTGAGATTTTGTCAAAACTGGCTGCGAAATTGTGCAAATGTGTCAGGATGGCCGAGTTGGTCTAAGGCGCCAGTTTCAGGTACTGGTCCGAAAGGGCGTGGGTTCAAATCCCACTCCTGACATCGTGGCCCAGATCTTTATCCGTTTTCTTTTATCTACTGCTTGCTGTCTCCTCCCGTAAAGTACCAACAGCGACACCTCTTGTCTCTGCGTTCTCAACAATCGCAGGGTTGAACCTCAGAGCCTTGCTGCTCAATTCAATCTATCACAGCAACAAGGCTCCAAGGCTCAGCACTTTCTATAGTCCCCATTGCCCATCTAATTCTCCTCAGTCAGCCTTGCCTTCGTCCAAATGTGTAACTTTTTACTGGTTGTTTCTCCCTCTCAACTCCATCTCACCTGACTGTGATGTAAACCTAACTGCCCATCCAGGTGTCAACTGGTGGAGGTGGCGAGGCCCTATTGGAGGATACCTTGAGGAATTTGCTGAAACCCACCTATCGCGGTGAGTGTGATGGTGATGAGTGATAAGGGTGTTGAGGGAACACTTAGGTGGTGCATTGGTGCAGCAGCTTTCAGAGAAGAAAGGTGAAAAGGGGTGAAGAGTGGAGAGGAGTGTTCAAGCGTAAAATAGCGTGATGTTGAAGCTACCAACATGTCGAGATGGCCGAGTTGGTCTAAGGCGCTGGATTAAGGTTCCAGTCCGAAAGGGCGTGGGTTCAAATCCCACTCTCGACATTCTCTGACCTCTTGTTGCTGTGCAAGTTATCAGCGCATTGACATGCTGGTTTTCAGCTTAGCAGGGCCCCGTTAGGCTTATTGGTTAACATGCTGCTCCAGCCACCCTTGCCCTGCTCTCTCTCCTACAGCATTTGCATCCCCATTTCTTAAAAGCCTTTCTCCTGTTTCCATGCAGATGCGATTTCCTTATGTGTCTCACTCCCTCACGCGCATTTGCCTCTGCACCTTGGCTCACTGCCTCACGCGCATTTGCCTCTGCACCTTGGCTCACTGCCTCACGCGCATTTGCCTCACACTCGTGTGATGTGGAAGGGAGGGAGACCAGGTGAGGGCAGAGTTGATTGTGTTGTCTCGGCTGGATGCCATGCTCTGGCAGGGTGCAGTGTGATTGGCAGGGTGCAGTGTGACTGGCAGGGTGCAGTGTGACTAGCAGGGTGCAGTGTGACTAGCAGGGTGCACTGTGACTAGCAGGGTGCACTGTGACTAGCAGGGTGCACTGTGACTAGCAGGGTGCACTGTGACTAGCAGGGTGCACTGTGACTGGCAGGGTGCACTGTGACTGGCAGGGTGCACTGTGACTGGCAGGGTGCACTGTGACTGGCAGGGTGCACTGTGACTGGCAGGGTGCACTGTGACTGGCAGGGTGCACTGTCTGGAGAATGCAGGTGTGGCCAAAAGCAGTTCCCCAGCAGCTGGAGTTCGTGGGTCAATGAGTTTGAGGGCCTTAGGAAACGCTTGCATGAATCTTTGCCTTTTTGCATGTGTACTGTCCTGTGTACGTGTTGATGTATCATGCGTTAATGTTAATGATAAAATATTGTACGATTCCCGTTTCCCCTTTTATTGAGCTTGTTTGCTGCCCTCCCAATGACTGCCGCTGCCCACTTTCATGCTCACTCCCAACCATCCTCTCTGTTGAGACCAATGCCTCATCCCACCACCACCCATTGTTGCCTCTTCTTGTTGCTCCCGTTGCTGCTCTCCTCATCCACGTCCTCTTCTATCGAACTTTGTCTGCTGCCCTCCCAATTCTTGCCCGCCCTCATGCTCACTCCCCACCATCCTCTCTGTAGAGGCCACTACCTCATCCCACCCACCACCACCCATTGTTGCGCCTTATGTTGCTACCGTTGCTGCTCTCCTCATCCACGTCCTCTTTACTGCAAGGTTGCTCGTCAATTCCTCCTCCACCGCTGCTTTCCTCACTCCTCCTGCTTCCCCTCCCTCGCTTTTGACTTAATACTTTTAACCTTGCACCTCGCCCCAGTTTCACAAGTTGACTTTCACTTTATCATGCTTCCCCTCCCTCCTCTTTGTTCATCTGCTGCCCATGCCTTGTTACTCCATCTGACTACCTAAACTTAGCCTGATCACCACCTATGCACTCGTTTTGAGTCGACTCAAAACAAGACTACCTAAACTTAGCCTGATCACCTCCTACGCACTTGTTTTGAGTCGACTCAAAACAAGACTACCTAAACTTAGCCTGATCACCAACTACGCACTTGTTTTGAGTCGACTCAAAACAAGACTACCTAAACTTAGCCTGATCACCAACTACGCACTTGTTTTGAGTCGACTCAAAACAAGACTACCTAAACTTAGCCTGATCACCTCCTACGCACTTGTTTTGAGTCGACTCAAAACAAGACTACCTAAACTTAGCCTGATCACCAACTACGCACTCGTTTTGAGTCGACTCAAAACAAGACTACCTAAACTTAGCCTGATCACCAACTACGCACTTGTTTTGAGTCGACTCAAAACAAGACTACCTAAACTTAGCCTGATCAACAACTACGCACTTGTTTTGAGTCGACTCAAAACAAGACTACCTAAACTTAGCCTGATCACCAACTACGCACTCGTTTTGAGTCGACTCAAAACAAGACTACCTAAACTTAGCCTGATCACCTCCTACGCACTTGTTTTGAGTCGACTCAAAACAAGACTACCTAAACTTAGCCTGATCACCAACTACGCACTTGTTTTGAGTCGACTCAAAACAAGACTACCTAAACTTAGCCTGATCACCAACTACGCACTCGTTTTGAGTCGACTCAAAACAAGACTACCTAAACTTAGCCTGATCACCTCCTACGCACTTGTTTTGAGTCGACTCAAAACAAGACTACCTAAACTTAGCCTGATCAGCAACTACGCACTTGTTTTGAGTCGACTCAAAACAAGACTACCTAAACTTAGCCTGATCACCAACTACGCACTTGTTTTGAGTCGACTCAAAACAAGACTACCTAAACTTAGCCTGATCACCAACTACGCACTTGTTTTGAGTCGACTCAAAACAAGAC